AACTAAAAGATCCAATAAGGAGAGTAACTTAGCATGGAACTTTGTGATGGGGGCAAATTCTATGGTCAGTATTAAGCTGTGCAAATTATATCACCTCTGCAAAGCTCACTACTTCCAGTAGTTTCTCACAGAACCAGCTACCGTCCTAATTCCTTCCTTCCTTCCTTCCCAGGGCCAGAGTGTGAAAAATGGCGTCCATCTCCGCCAAAACCACAGCTTCTTCCTTCATCCATGCATCTCTCCGTCGCAACCCCTCTCTAGGGGTTTCCTCCGCCCCAGTTCTCGGTGAGTACTCTTGACGCCCCCCTCCCCTGAAATTCACAATTACATCTGGCTTTTATCAATTCAGCTTGGGGGAACCAAGAAATTGAATCGATTGGGTGATATGCAGGGCTGCCGTCGATGGCGAAGAGAGGGAGAGTGGTGAAGTGCTCGGCGGAAGGAAACGGAAAAAATGGCAGCGGGTGGGAGAAGAAGGGGATGATGAGCGCTTCGCTGATGGCGGCGGTGGCCGCAGCAGCTGCGTCGAGCCCAGCGGCGATGGCTCCTCAACGGATGCGAGTAGCTGGAGCGATTTGTAGCGACCTTCTAGAGGCTGAAGCAGAGAAGAAAGAAGAAGCAGGGTTCGTGGCGGCGGGGGAGACGGTGGTGGCGGCGGCAGTAGTTGTGCTTCTCGCCGGAAGGGAAAGCCTCGATCGTCGACAACCTCTTCGCCACGGAGATAGTTCGCTGCACTTCCAAACGCGATCTCCTCAGTCGCAGCAGAAGCGGGCCGTCACTGCTTTCCGCCACTGACCACCAAAACGTCTGGTCGTCTTCCCATGAACTCAGCAACAGCCGGCCATCAGCGCCTTCCTCCGCTGAACACGAAACCGTGACGCCCTCTTACCAGAATTTTCCGATGGAAACTGATTCTCCTCCTGTCCTGCGGGTAGGCGAAAGAATAACGTGGGAACCCAGTAGAAAAGGTGGTATTTCAGCCAAACGAAAATTAAATGAAAAATAAATAATAACTAAATGATAACGTGGGAAACCAGGAGAAAAAGGTGGGTAGTGGACGATTCTTAGTTCTGCAATCTGGCGGGGAGTTATATTTTTTTCCCGCTCAACACCCTGCCACATCAGCTTCCTAAAATCACTCTATGGACAGGAAAATTTGAATGGGGGTGGCGGTTTTACTTTTCAGCTATAAATTATACTGTTGATTTTCAATATATTTCGAGAATTTTTTTTTCTTACCACACATTCTACTCATTACCACCCTAGTATCACCTTCAATTTTAACTCGAATTTTAAAAAGATGTACCCATAAGGAACAGATTCATCATATGACCTATTGGATCTACAAATTTATGAGGAACAAAATTTGAGGACCAAATATACCACCTTATACCATATACAATCGGTTTACACTTTTGTACATTCATACCACCATGATACACTTTCATACCACATGGTATAATCTTATGTACTACCAAGCATTAGCACATGGTTTGGACAGGTAATAAATGTCTCAATTTTTCCCCAAAATATATCAAAGTGGATGCCAATTTGAAGAGTACAATCAATCTGATTAGTCTGTGGACAAAAATTAATTATGAATTAAAGCGAAAGTGATATATCCCGTTACATTAATTGAAAAAAAAAAATTGTCTTCCATAAATGGTAAGTGGGGTTAAGCAACAACACAAATCACCAAATTTAAAAACTATTAGTGCGTCAAAATAAACAAAATTTCCAAGATAGAGTGCATAACCATAGGGTGCACAACGTTCGAAAAAATCAAATATGAGCTTTTGATTTTAAGTTTGTCTAGATCTAAGAGTGAAATGAAAGGGGTTTTTTTTGTTTTCCACAATTTTTAATTGGATTTTTTCCCCTTGTTTTAACTGGGATTTCAACATTTTTTCACAGGTGGAACATGTTGGTTGTGATCTACAAAATGATATCCATTTATTTCATACATGTTCCTATAAAATAAATAATATCCATTTATTTCGATAAATGTTTTTCGTACCACCCATACTATTCCTTACCACCCTAGTACCATTTTCATTTTTAACTCGAATTTTGAAAAAACTTTACCCCTAAGGAACGAGTTAATCGTGATCTATTGGATCTACAAATTTCTGAGGTATAAAATTTCAAGACCAAATATACCATCATATTCCATCCTACTATAGGTTAGTAACCGGTGGTAGACGGTGATGAAAAGTGATAAATGACCATTAGTATATACTTACTATCATGTATACAATCATTTTATACTATGGTATATTTATACAACCATGGTACATTTCCATAGCATATGATATAATCTCACAAACTACCAAGCATTACCACATATCCACATGCATGGACTGACAATAAATGTCTCAACCTTTCGTTCTAAAATATATCAAAGTGAATGTCATTTTGAATAGTACAATTCATATAATTTTTCTTTGAAAAAATAAATTACGACTTAAAACGAAAGAGATATAGCCCGTTAAACTCAAATGGGAAACAATTAATTGTCTTTCATAAATGGTAAGTGAGGAGTTATGCAACAACACAAATCACCAAGTTTGGAAACTATCAATGCGTGAAAAGAAACCAATGGTTCAAGATGGGGCGCATAACCCTTGCATAATCAAATATGGACCTTTGATTTTAAGTGTGTTCAGGTCTAATGGGTGAGATTAAAGGGCTTTTTATTTTCCAAACTTTTTAATTGGCTTTTATCTTGTTTTAACTTGGATTTTACAAGCTAAAAAACGTAATACATAAATCCAACACAACCGGTAAATAATAGTCACGGTCCAACCTAAACTTGGCCCATATTTGAGCTATATTTCTTAAGGTTGGGCAATGAGAAACAGGTATTGTGGGATAGGACTTGGGATTGTAAATGTCAACAATGGGTATTCGCGGTAACCCGCGAGTACCCGTTTGAGTAATACAGGTACACGTTATACCCGTTACCACAATAGTCCGCTCAAGGCCAGCCCCGCCTAGCGCCCCAGCCCAACGCCTCAGCCCAAGCCCATTCTTCATTTCGACCAGTCAGCCCACTCCAGGCCAAATCTTATATAACCTAGCGAGCCTCTGCCTCTCAGTGACATGCAGTCTGTCTCGGCCTCGCTAGTAGCCTCTCCCTCACTTAGACACAAACGGCAGACCTGGACCCTGACCCTCCCACTTGACACTCGGGTTTCGGCAGGGGGCGACGATTTGAATTGCGAAGGCAGCAGAAGTGAGAAGACCCCCCGACCCCCGACGCTGCCGGCCGATACTCTTCTCTGGCACTCCCTTGGAAGAAGACGAGAAGGTTGGCTGCCTGTGCCTGGCTCACTCTCCATTCCGCAATCAGCCACAACCCACAGAATTGGAGTTGGATTTTTGAGCTCCTTCTCCCCGACGTTGATAGCATCTGTTCGGAAAGGAGGCGGCCTAGCGGGTATAAACAGGTACCCGTTATCCGTCCCGTAAGGGTAACGGGTACCCGTTAAGCCTTAAGGGTTTGGAATATGAGATGGACTTTATCCTCCAAACGGGACTGGGTACCCATTTCAAACAGGGCGGGTATCCCGTCCCGTCCCGTTGCCCACCGCTAATATTTCTGTGTAGCCCAATAAAAAAAGCAAAAGGAAATTTGGTCCAATAAAACAGGGAAATGAGTACAAATGCTGTGAATTAACAGGAGATTAGAAAAGGCTGATGTGGTAGATTGTTTTCTCAAAACAGCCATAATATATGTTAAGAAGCGCTGCATCAAGTTCCACACTTCAGCTGTGAAACTGCAGGTAAAGAAAATGTGACCGATGTTCTCCTCTTGGCATTTTCAAAGGACGCATCTACTCGGAATGGTAGATAGGCCACTTTTTCATGCGGGAGAAACCTGGTTTAATCTCGTACAACTCCATCATTAGTACTTTTTACCCAAATTTATTACGGACTTCTTCTTTTCACTTTTGTTTGTGTAGCAATTACACCTAAAATTTTTGGGCAAAGTTTTGTCAATTAGATCCATCTTTTTTTTTTAAACATATTGGGGATGTAGCTCAAATGGTAGAGCGCCCGCTTTGCATGCGGGAGGTACAGGGTTCGATCCCCTGCATCTCCATTATTGAGTACTTTTTCTCCAAAAATTTTATTGGACTTAAAAATCTACAAGACTTTGAAAACAATTTGAATAACGTGATTTTACCTATTCTCGTAGGCATGATTTTAATTAATGAATTAAATTTTATAGCATATCTAATAGGCACCATAAACAATCCAGCTTGCATACTTCTACCCCTTTGTGCAAGAATGTGCTTTTGTATTAGTAGATTAGGCGTCTCACGATTTAAACCGATTTGGAGATATCACTCAAATGATAGAGTGATCCCCGCATCTCCATTATTATTTTATTAGTACTTTTTACCGAAATTCCTTATTTAACTAACAAATTTGTTATGAATTTCTTCTTTTCATTGTCACTTGTCTAGCAGAAATTATTTATGTGACTAACAAATTCATTATGGACTTCTTCTTTTCAGTGTCATTGGTCTAGCAATAACATGTACATTTGTGGCAAAAATTTTTGTAACCTAGATCTACCTAAATATTTGGACAAAGTTCTGTAACCTAAATCTACAAGACATGGAAAGCAATTTGAATAGCGTGATTCTACAATGGAAAGGCCTTGATTGTTTGTTATAATGGTTTGATGATTTTTTAACATGGAATCAAGGCCTCCATGTTAATAATTTATTGCCAGTCCCTAAAAAGTAAAAAAAGATATTAATAAACAACTTCCACTTGTATTCAATCGATGAAACAGTTTCTCCTCTCATTACACCGCCAGATAGTAAATTAATTTATTTTAAATAAAAGAAAGAGAATTAAACATTCAAAATACAAAGCACTGAATTAGTAGACCCTCTGATGCACTTCAGATCTCACCAACAACCCAATCCACTAATTCTGTCACTACTATTTATTATCACTTCCAAAAAAACCACAACTCAACAAATTCAAAACATGACCATCCCAAGAACGCCGACGGCGACGACCGTGGCCGCAGCGAACCCAGCACTGACGATGCTCCCCGGGGCGGCGCCGGTGGTTGGCGAGGTCGGGGTCGGCGCAGGAGCGGCGGATCCGTCGAGGACAGTGATGACCAGCTTCTGGCCGGAGGTGCAGTGGCCGGTGACGCCGCATATGTACCATTTCTTCCCCGTGGTTTTGAGCGGAATCTCATCGCTCCCGGTGGTGAGTGGAGCGCCGACAAGTGGCTTGGAGCACTGCATGAAGTCTGTGCCGTTCACTTTGAACACGTTGTGTTTCCCTGCTGGGTAGTTGAACACTGCAATATGCACAGAAAATATTAATTAATGCTTTAACATTCACTTACCAAAGGGGTCACCAACAAAGAATAGCTCGAAACGAGTTGTTATATATGTGATAAATGAACTGTCGATTTGTTGGAAGAAATTCATGTATAGATTTTAATCATTTTTTTATATGTTCAAAGTCAACTACGGAGTTAAAATTTGCACAAACTCATTGCTTTTAAGACAATGATTATTATTGGAATCGTGAGGAGTTGAATACATGACTGGCTATGATATAATGTCATAAACAAGTCGATTCCAATAACTCGAATTATTGATAGAAGTTCATGTATAGATATTAACCATTTCCTGACCATATAAAAACAGTTAAGACTTACCTAGGGAGTCACCAACGAAGAATTGCTTGCCGGCGGTCCAAGTGGTGTAATCAAAGTCCTTGGTCCAGCCCTTGTCATCACCAACCACGTATTGCGTCGCCGAAGCCATCATGGGAGCGAAAACAGCCAAAGCGGCAACGGCGGCGAACATCGACACCGCCATCTTGCTGCTCTTGCTTGCAAACAAGGCCATGGCTAGCAATGAATTATAAGCTATCTAGCAAAAAGAAAACGAGCTAAGCAGAAAAGAGAAGATTGATAGATGTGTTTGTGTTGTGAGAATGATGGACTTTGATTCAGCAAGGCTTCTCGTTTTATAGCAACTTTTGGTACTGTTGAATGTTGATTGCAGAATCTTTTGTCTTGGTAATTATCACGCTTGGCTCCGTTGAAATCATCAACAAGCTAAGCTAGCAGTTTGTGGTCTCTGCAGACTCCGCCGGACCGGACAACCGGCATGGGGCGGCAATATAATTATACATATACCACAATGTTCCAGCGGCCAAATAGGCTAGCTAACGACGTTTGTTGGCTTTTGTGTAATACGCGGTAAGCCGTTGTATAGGCTAGCTCGGTACTTTGCTGAGGAAGAATTTTAGCGGCATCCATACAAAACAATTTACATTTGTTCGTATATGCATGAACCTGATAAAACAATGCCATTTGTCCCGTGGCGAAGTGGGTAGGTAGATCTGCAGTAATAGTCGTAGAAAAGCTAAGGATTTTGATGGAGACCCGCTCGGGTAGGGGGGTCGGGTTGGGTTGGCCGACTGGGCCGGGTTTGGTTTGTTTGTCTTATTACTCCTGTGTTAGTTCTGAAACTCATAAATAGGTTTCTGCACATTCATTTGCGGTTAAGCAATAATAATATCAAAATCCCTAAATCCCTCTTTTCTCTGTTCTTCCCCAATTCTTCTTCCAATCCCTAATTCTTCCTCTAATCCCTAATTCTTTCTCAATTCCCAATTCTATTTCACAACCCCAACCCTACTCATCTCTATCAATTGGTATCAGAGCCAACATGAGCTCTGCTAGGCTCTCTGATCCCTCATGGACGCGGCTGCTGCAACGGATCGACGCTCTCTGCGCCGATCGGGAAGAGGAGGCGCGAGAGGAGGGCTGCCCCGCGGCGGCTGGGGGTGAACCGCGCGGGCTGGCGCGGGTGACACCGCCGCGCGAAGGGCAGGCGGTCGGGGAGGGGGCGGCAGCGCCCGGCGAGACGGCGGCGACGGGAGAGCCGCGGCGCGAGCCGCGCGCGGGTGGGCTTCGCGGCGGGGGCTGCTCGCCGCCGAGCGCGCACCAGGACGGCGGGGGTGACAGGATGACGCCGGCGTCTCCGGGAATCTCGCTCCACTCTGTGACTGGTCTACCTACGCCGGGAACACTCCGTTTCCGAGCTGAGATAGCTGGCACTACTGCTCTGACGTTGGTGGACAGTGGCGCGACTCTTAATTTCATCAGCGAGGAACTGGCTAAGCAGATTCCTCAAAAGCCGAGCGAGGTGGAGTCTATGGTGGTCAAGGTTGCCAATGGCGCCCCAATGCGGTGCAGGGCAGTGTATCGGCAGCTGCCTTTCGAGATTCAAGGGCTGCCCGTCACTGCCGATATGTATGTTCTACCCATCCGCGGGTTTGACTTGATCTTGGGTGTTCCGTGGTTGCAGGAATTGGGACCGGTGACTACTGATTGGCGCCATCTGACTATGCGGTTCAAGTGGAGAGATAAGGAGTGGAGTCTGCAAGGGCTCACGACGGCCCTAGGGCCTATTTCGCTCCATGAGTGCATGGCGGAGGGCGAGGCTGAGCTGGCTGTCCTCTGCTGGCCCACGGTGGCGACCGATGCGAAGGAGCTGCCCCCTGATCTGCAGCGGGTACTGGACGCATTTCCGGAGCTCTTCCAGGCACCTACCACACTGCCGCCCCACCGGCAGGTTGATCACCGGATTCAGCTCAAGGATGGTGTTGAGGCTGTGAATGTCCGACCCTATCGGTATGGACACTCGCAAAAGGAAGAGATCGAGCGCCAGGTGGAGGAGATGCTAGCGACCGGGTTGATTCGCCCTAGCACTAGTCCTTTTTCTTCGCCGGTCCTCCTGGTCAAGAAAAAGGATGGGACTTGGCGGTTCTGCACAGATTACAGGGCCCTCAATGCTGCGACGGTGAAGGATCGGTTCCCGATTCCCACCGTAGATGACATGCTCGACGAGCTCCATGGCTCAGCCTATTTCACTAAGCTCGATTTGCGGGCCGGGTATCATCAGATTCGGATGCAGGAGGAGGATGCGCACAAGACCGCTTTCAGGACTCATAACGGCCATTATGAGTACTTGGTTATGCCCTTCGGCTTGTGCAATGCTCCCTCGACTTTTCAGGCGGCTATGAATGACATCTTCAGACCACTACTCCGCCGGTATGTTCTGGTATTTTTTGATGACATTCTGGTTTACAGCCCATCTTGGGAAGAGCATTTGCAGCATTTGCAGGCAGTCTTTGAGGTGTTGAGGCATCACCAGTACTACCTCAAGGCCTCGAAGTGTGCGTTCGGGGTGCAGAAGGTCGAGTACTTGGGCCACATTGTCACGCCTCAGGGAGTGCAGGTGGACCAGTCGAAGATACAGGCTATGGTCGAGTGGCCTACCCCGACCACGGTCACAGAGCTGAGGGGTTTCTTGGGCTTGACAGGGTATTACCGGAAGTTCGTGCAGGGGTACAGCATGATCGCCCGGCCCTTGACTAATCTGTTGAAGAAGGGCGGGTTTGCATGGACCCCAGAGGCGGAGACGGCCTTCCAGCGGCTGAAGCAGGCCATGACCTCCACTCCGACTCTAGCTATGCCGGATTTTTCCCGGACCTTTGTGATTGAGGCTGATGCGTCTGGTCGGGGAATCGGGGCGGTGTTATCACAGGACCGCCATCCGGTGGCCTTCATGAGTAAGACCCTAGCTCCCTCCAAGGAGGCGTGGTCTACATACCAGAAGGAGATGCAGGCTATCATCACTGCTGTGCAGATGTGGAGACCGTACCTTCTGGGTCAGAAATTTCACATCTACACCGACCATCAGAGCCTGAGGAATCTGTTGGAGCAGCGCGTTTCCACTCCTGATCAGCACAAGTGGGTCGCGAAGCTCCTGGGCTATGATTATGAGATACACTATCGACCGGGGCCCTCCAACGTGGTGGCCGATGGGCTCTCGCGTAGGCCGGGAGGCGAGGTATTAGCAGCGGTGACGGGACCAGTACCCCAGTTTTGGGATGCCCTACGAGCTCTGACAGAGACGGATGCATATTTGCGGGGATGCCGGGATACCGCAGTCGGAGAGACTCCGGGCCAGTACTCGTTTCGCCAGGGGCTGGTGTTCTTCCGAGGGCGCCTTGTCCTTCCCCGGGGCTCTTCCCTGGTGACGACTGTGCTTAAGGAGTACCACGATTCACTTTTTGGCGGACATTCTGGGGTGGAGCGGACCCTGAGGCGGATTCGGGCACAGTTTTATTGGCCTCAGATGGCTCAGGATGTGAAGGACTATGTCAGCTCTTGTGACACCTGCCAGCGGGTTAAGGCCTCCCATCTTCGACCGGCCGGTCTATTACAGCCATTACCGGTGCCGGAGCGGGTGTGGGAGGACATCAGCATGGACTTCATTGTCGGGCTTCCTCCCTCCGGTGGTAAGACAGTGTTGTTTGTTGTTGTGGACAGGTTGACGAAGTATGCTCATTTCATGGCATTGGCGCATCCGTATACGGCCAGGGCAGTTGCAGAGCAGTTTGTGATGGGAGTTGTACGCCATCACGGGTTTCCGCGGTCGATTGTCAGTGACCGGGATTCGGTTTTCTTGAGCCGTTTCTGGCAGGAGGTATTCGCCTTGGCGCAGACGACTTTGCGCATGAGCTCTGCATACCACCCGCAGACAGATGGCCAGACGGAGGTGGTCAACCGATATTTAGAGCAGTACCTGCGTTGTTTCGCTCACCAGCAGCCGCGGCGGTGGTTCGCTCTGTTACCCTGGGCCGAGCTATGGTATAACTCCACATATCATAGAGCGATTCAGACGACCCCGTTTGAGGCGCTGTACGGGCGACCACCACCTGCATTGGTTCGCTACCAGCCGGGCGCCAGTCAGGTGGATGCGGTGGACCGCTGGCTTGGGACGCGGGATGAGGCATTGGAGCAGCTCAAGGCCAATCTGGCTGCTGCTAATAACAAAATGAAGCAGTTGGCTGATGCAGGCAGGCGGGAGGAGGAGTTTGAGGTGGGGGACTGGGTTCTGCTTCGACTTCACCCCTACAGACAGGCTTCCGTTTTCCGGCGAGCCTACCAGAAGCTGGCTGCCCGATACTTTGGTCCCTATGAGGTGCTGCAGAAGATTAATCCAGTGGCCTACAGGTTGCAGTTACCGGCAGATGCGCGTATTCACCCTACCTTCCATGTGTCGCTGCTGAAGCGCTACAGAGGAGCCGCGGATCGGGTGGAGACGACGGCGCCACCAGTCTCTGCCGATGGTGATCTTGTACTTACCCCTGTGCAGGTTGTGGATACCAGGTGGGTTCGGAAGGGCGGGCGGCTGATTGAGGAGAGTTTGGTTCTGTGGAAACACATGACGCGTGAGGATGCTACCTGGGAGGAGACTGCCGAGCTACGACAGCGTTTTCCGACATTTGACCTTGAGGACAAGGTCATTTCTGATGGGGAAGGGGATGATGGAGACCCGCTCGGGTAGGGGGGTCGGGTTGGGTTGGCCGACTGGGCCGGGTTTGGTTTGTTTGTCTTATTACTCCTGTGTTAGTTCTGAAACTCATAAATAGGTTTCTGCACATTCATTTGCGGTTAAGCAATAATAATATCAAAATCCCTAAATCCCTCTTTTCTCTGTTCTTCCCCAATTCTTCTTCCAATCCCTAATTCTTCCTCTAATCCCTAATTCTTTCTCAATTCCCAATTCTATTTCACAACCCCAACCCTACTCATCTCTATCAGATTTCTCTCTAAAATGGAAGGGTTACTAGTTAGTATTACCTTAAATACCATACTAGCTAATTTTTTTTCTGAATCGCTAAATGTCGCCCTTAAAATTGTAAACGGTCGCCCTAACTCTAATGATAAATGACTTATATACCCTCAATAAAATTTCAAAATTTAAACAAACCAAACAATCCCTAACCCCTCAAACTGAACATCTCATCTGCCTTCTTCGCGAATCCCTCTCGACGCACCAATTCGTCGGCGTCTTTCCCGCCGTCGTCGTCGTCCGTTCTCTAACGAAATTTCCAAAAAAACGCTCAACCTAAGGCAAGTTACGGTTGGTCCATGGTGCAACCTCAACTCACTTGCGGTTGGTCCATGGTGCAACCGCAAGTGAGCTGCGGTTGGCCCATGGTGCAACCGCAAATGAGCTACGGTTCCCTTTTTTGTCTTTTTTTTTTTCAATTTTTTGAGTGAACTTTACCGATTCAGAGTCGCAAGTCATGCTCCAGACATCATATCGACGATTCCAACTGTAGAATGACGATGATGGATTCTCTCTTTTGAATAATGTTTTATTTTCTTTACTAAGTTGTGCTTGTTTGCTAAAGGATGAGTAAAGAAGCTAAAAGGTTAAATTTGTAACTTTGATGTTTTTTAGGGCGACATTTAGCAATTTTAAGGGCGACCTTTAGCAACTCCCTTTTTTTTTTATATCCAAGATAAGCCCCCAGGGCATGGCCAGTCAACACAATTACAAGATAGACACTAAAAAAGAATGGTAGTCCGTATGCAACCGGACTCCCGATAAAAGAGTCTGTTTTGCCACGAGGTGGGCAGCACTGTTGAAGCTCCGAGGAGCAAAAAGACACGAGACTGATAGGAAGGAGGGAATGAGAGAGTGAACTTCCTCTAGTATAGCTCCCGCTCTTGAATGCGAAGCCTTCTTTGATGTCACGTCCTTGATGACCAATTGAGAGTCCCCACAAAAAGCAACAGTCAAGAAGTTGTGCGTGAGACACCATTTCATAGCATCACGAATAGCAAGTAATTCTGATAAATAAGCATATGAGATGCCCTGATAGAATTTAGCAACTGCAAATGTGATATTTCCATCACCTGAAAAGCCGACGAAGCCAATTGAACATCCTTGAGGGATTTTAGTTGCCTCGTCAAAACGAACTAGGATACCTTCACTAGGGAAGGAAACATCTGTTCTCCTTGAATGAGGATCTTGGCCTGTGGAAGAGTGGGGGATTGACCTTCGGGTTTCCTCGGATCTCTGAACCTTCTGTGCCTCTACCGTTCTCCATTCCTCCACCTGCGCTAGTCGTTGCCTGTATAGAACATGTGACTTGTATAAAACGTGTTCATAAGTAGCCTTGCATCGGCCTTTCCATATTCTTTAGAATAATAAGACAATGAAAGCTACATCATTCTTGGAAATATTAGGCGTTAAAAAGAGGTTTCTCCATGCAAGATCCATAGAACTTGCCCTCATCATATCTCTTATATGGTCAAGGTCAGATAATGTCCACAGTTCTCTAGTGATTCCGCAGCAAACAGGACATATACTTGATGGAATAATTTTCTTATAAAGGAGGATTCCTTTAACTGGTAAAAATCCACGCACCAATCTCCAAAGAAAGAATTTCAGTTTAGGAGGTATTGGAATATTCCACATGAATTTCCAGAACTTGGTGTTCAAAAATTCTGGAAGAGAGTTCATGGGTGAAGTTAAACCAGCCGAAAGGAGGTGGTATCCCGATTTAACTGTATAATGACCAGACTTGTCATAGTGCCAAATCAATTTATCTTCTTAGGGGGAAGATGGGAGAGGGATGGATAAGATTTTTTTGATCGGGACAGGATGAAATAAGGTTTTAAGCAAGTCTAGTTTCCACTCCATAGCATTAGAATCCAGAAGAAATGAGACCATTGGATGATCTAGTGAGGCGCCAATTAACAACACAGGGCTAGATGGAGGGTTTGTTGGTAGCCAAAGGTCGAGTAAGGTGTTTATCCTAGATCCTGATCCTACTTGCCAACGAAGACCTTTACTCAATAGATCTCTACCCTGCAAGATACCTTGCCAAACCCGAGAGGGGCAGGCCCCCTGACAGGCTAGGAGGAAATGATCGGTGGAATGATATCTTGCCTTATACATTTTGGCAAGAATACTCTCCGGTTCGCAGATAAGTCTCCAAGCTTGCTTGGCTAGCATTGCTACATTGAACCTATCAAAGTCTCTAAATCGCAATCCTCCTTCAAATTTGCTGAAACAACATTCAGACCATGATAACCAATATATACCTTTTTCTTTGTCTTGGCCTGCCCACCAAAAGGTGGAGAGTTTCCCATCCATCCCTCTACACAAGTCAGAAGTGAGTCTAAAGCAGGACATCGCAAAGATAGGAGTTGCTGTCCCACCTGCTTTAATGACTACTTCTTTGGCAGCCAAAGACATGGTTTTTGATTTCCAATGGCGTATTCGGGTTGCTAAAGAGTCTTCAATATACAGAAAAGTTTGGATTTTAGATCTATGAACCCGAGATGGAAGTCTAAGATATCTATCATGAACTCCAATTGCTAACACAGCAAGTAAACCAGCTAGGCGAGTAGCTTCCAAGTCGAAGACATTTGCACTAAATGTAACAGCTGATTTTGGGAGATTAACTCGTTGCCCACTCACCACTTCATATTCATGAAGTATTTTAATTAGACGGGCACATTGAGTAGAGGAGGCACGGAGGAATAGGTAGGAATCATCCGCAAAGAATAAGTGGGAGATAAGTGGAGCTTCTCTGTGAATAAATAACCCGTGAAGGCTAGAGTTTCTAATAGAATTCTCTATAAGTGAAGAGAAAGCTTCTATGTATAAGGCGAATAAGAGTGGGGAGAGAGGGTCCCCTTGGCGTAAGCCTCTTTATGGAAGTATCCATGGATAGACCCGTTTAGGACAATAGGGAATGATACAGTTGTCACGCATGATCTTAGCCATTTGACCCATTTATCTCCAAATCCTAGGACTTTAAGTAACTCAAACAAGAGAGGCCATTCAACTCTATCATAAGCCTTTTCCATGTCTAGCTTTAAAGCCATCCATTTTTCCTTGCCTTGAGTTTTGGTTTTGAGAAATTGCATCACCTCTTGTCCGATTAAGATGTTGTCTGTGATAGATCTGTCTTTCACAAAGCCATTTTGATTAGGGCCCACAATGAGTGGAAGGAAACAACTCAGCCTATCTGCTAAAATTTTAGCAATGATCTTGTAGAATACTTGGCAGAGTCCTATAGGTCTCATTTGTTTCATGGTTTCAGCATTTGGAGTCTTGGGTATAAGCGTGATCAGCGTATGATTAAAGTTATGCAACAATCTTCCCGTATGAAAGAAGGAGAGGGCAGCATCACACAGGGATTCCCCAACCACATCCCAAAATGCTTGAAAGAAGATACCAGTAAACCCATCTATCCCCGGGGATTGGTAAGAGCCGATCGAAAAAGTAGCATCTTTTATCTCTTTTCTTGTAACTGTAGCAGAAAGGCCAGTATTAATATAATCATTCACTTTCTTCTGAAGACCCAAGCTCAATATGAAATTATGAACTAAAGGTTGATTAGATAGGAAGAGTCCCATAAAGTATGTAACTGCCACATTGGCTTTAGCTCCTTCCTCTAAATGAACTAATCCATTATCATCCTTGAGTGAAAGAATTGCGTTCATCCTTCTCTTCTGGTTTGTAATGGTATGAAAGAAATGAGTATTAGACTCCCCTTCCTGAAGGTACATAACTCTAGATTTTTGTTTCCAATAAATCTCTTCTTGTAGATAGGAAGATGATAACGATTGTTCAAGCCCCTTAATCGCCTCCCAGTCAATAGATGGAGCATTTCTGGTTGTATCAATGGCTAGACGAAGTTCTTTTATTTTCCAAGCCGAGTTAGATTTACCCCTTTTCATCCATTCCACAAGGTCATGCCTCGAAGACTTGAGGTCATTGAAAAGTTTGAATTGCCTTGTACCAGAGGTTTGATTATCCCATCTGTCAACAAAGGCTTGTCTTGCTTCCGAATTTTTTGCCCAACGGCTATCGAAGTGGAAGCGATGCCGACCCAAATTATGAGGCGGGATGAGTTGCAACACAATTTTTCGGTGATCCGAACCTAGATCTGATAGGTGAGTTACCTTGGCGAGAGGCTCACGGTTTAAAGCCAAAGAGGCGACTAAAACTCTGTCCAGTCTATCCATAATATGATCCGAAGCCGATCTGCGATTTGTCCAGATGAAGTTAGGGCCACTAAAGCCTAGGTCTTGCAGCCCTGAGTGGAGGCAAAAATTTCTTAATTGGTCTAGGGCAGAAAGAGCAGGGCATTTGCCTCCTGATTTTTCAGAGCTGTCAAGGATACAATTAAGAAATGAGCTCTTCCGAGTCTTGGATGTTGGCATTCTAAGGAAATATAGAAGCGACGTTTGTCTCGAATAATACAATCTACATCCGTTGACCAACCCACAGCTAAACCACCAGATAGGCCAATAGCATTGACGAGACGACTTCCTTTAAAGCCAAGTTTTTAAATTTTGTCTATGACCAAGTCATTCTCGTTTTTTTGTTTCACTTAGAAACAACAAGTATATTGAGTAACGACTTACCGTTTCAGCGAGCTGCCTATTGGTTGTTATAGGGCAATCCCTTGACAGTTCCAAAAGAGGATTCCCATGATCGCTACCAATAACTTGCCAAGAGAAGTTATTATCTTAAGAGAACTCAGAATAGAACGTAAAAATGTTTATATCAATGAGACAACACAAAAAGAAGAGATGTCTTTCATTGATTCAGAGCGATAATCCTATTTTTCACAAATGAATTTGTGATAAAAGTACTCCACTGGAAGTACTACAGAGATGACAAGCATCTAATAATTCGATCAAATAGGTGATATCAGGTAGGCAAAATGAATGACTTATTCCGGAAAGCACCGACGTTGATC